GTACTGCAGAACCCATTGAACAATCGCTGCTGCAGCTGCCTCTGGTGCAGCTGCTGTCTAAGTCGGTGGAGCTGCTGCTGCTGCAGAGGCAGCAGCTGCTGCTTCTCCTGCTGCAGCCGCTGCTGCTGCAGCAGCCGCAGCTAGAGGCCGCAGGCGGCAGGGCAGTGCCTGGCTGCCGCTGCTGCTGCCTGTTGCAGCGGGGCCCCGGCAGCTCGGGGGTGTGGGGCCCCACAAAGGGGCTTGCCGCTGCTGCTGCTGCTGCTGCTGCTGCTGCTGCTGCTGCTGTGGGGAGACACAAAGAAGTTGAAGAAACAACTCAGGGGAGGCCTGCTGCTGCTTGCTGCAGCAGCTGGGAACTGCGATAAGTCTGCGAACTTCCAGAGGCGAGGTGCAGATACACCTGGGAGCTGCACATACACCGGAAAGCTGCGCGTACACCCGAAGGTGCATGCGCGTGCGGCGCACCTGTGGGGTGTACGTACACCGCAGAGGTGGACAGACACCCCGGCTCGCAACGAGAGTTCGGAGGAAACTGGAAATAAAAATTAAAAGACTGCGGCGCATGCATGCGAAGCAGCAGCAGGGGCTTTTAATAAAATGAAGCTGCGCCAAAAACCAGAAAACTGAATAAATAAAAATTCAAAACTACAATTTGTCTGTCCCCTTTCTCCTGGCCCCACAGCCGAGACAAACGGTGCTGCTGCGCCCTCGCCGAGGGGTCTCTCCTTCCTCTAAGACACTCTAAATATCTGCTGCTGCTGCTGCTGCTGCTGTTGCTGCTGCTGCTGCTGCTGCTGCTGCTGCTTGCATCTGGGCGGTCTGGGTCCTGCGGCGAGCGCCCTGCGACGCAAGCCCGGCGTGTGTGCACGTCAGTCCGCCGGCCCCGCTGCCGTGCTGCTGCTGCTGCTGCAGCAGCAGCAGCTGCTGCTGCTGCTCCTGCTGCTGCTGGCTGCGGCGCGCGTACCGCCGTTTGCGTCCGCGTGGGGTGCAGCGGGCAGTTCGAGATCTTGCACGAATCCGTCGTGCAAGAAAGCGTTTATTCGGACATTTTGGTTTTTGCTTCTTTGAATTATTGCTGCTTGTGCTGCTTCTTGTGTTTCTTGTTGTTTCTTGTGTTCGAGCAGGAGCCGCAGCTGCAGCCCCGCCTCGGCGTGCACTTGCTGCTGCTGCTGCTGCTGCTGGAGTTGCTGGAGCGCGTGCTGCTGCTGCTGCTGCTGCGGGTACTGCTGCTGCTGCGGGTACTGCTGCTGCTGGGGAATCTGCTGCTGCTGTTGCTGCTGCTGCTGCTGGTGCTGGTCGTGCTGCAGCTTGGCGCGTTTGGCGGGCGGTTGTTCCGCGCGTGGCTGCTGCAGCAGCTGCTTCCCCTTCGCGCCTCCTCCCCCTCCCCGCTGCTGCTGCTGCTGCTGCTGCTGCTGCAGCTTGCGCTGCCTGCGCTGCCTGCGCTGGAGCTTCTCCTGGTAAGCCATCTCGTCGAGCCGCCAGGGGTCGAACTGCTTCTGGCGGTACCTGGCGGGCCCCAGCCCCGAGAAGAAGAGCATGCGTTTGGCAGTGACAATAAGTTCGAGAGGCGGCCTCTGCCGCTTTTTAAACAACTCCAAACCCTGCAGCAGCTTATTCGCCAACATAGTGTTGAAGGAGTTGTTCTGCCGCGAGCGATAGCTGGGGGCCGGGAAGCTGTAGTTGGTGTCGAAGCAATCCGCAAAAGCCCCCCACCACTGCTCGAGGTGGAAATGGTCTTCTCCCAAAACTGCCACTGCGGCCAAAACGCTATCAAAGACGAGAAAATAACTCCCGAGAGTTGCTGCAGCAAAGAGCGGCCGCTGCTGCCGGCGGCTCCAGCGCGCGCGGCGGCCAGCCTTGCTGACGAGCTTCTCCACCTCAGTGACCATCGCGTCGGCCTGGCTCTGGTCCAGCTGCTTCTTGCCCAGCAGCCAGCGCAGCACCAGCAGCGGGCCGTGGAGGGAGTAGCCTCTGGGGAACTTGCCGAAGATTTCTGTGAAGCGGAAGGGCCTGGGGGCGACTCCGGGGGCGAGTGTGGGGAGGCGCACGTAGGGGTGTTCTGCGAAGCCTGTGGGGTCTTCGCGCTGCCAGGTCAGCGAGAAGAAGCGCGGCCCGATTGCTGCTGCTGCTGCTGCTGCAGCAGCAGCAGCGCGCGACTGCGCCGTGCTGCTGCTGCTGCTGCTGCTCTCCAGCAGCGAACGCCCCACGCGGCGACCCCCGCGGCCAGGCCGACGCCCTCGACCCGCCGTTAGCTTCGCAACCGCAGCGTCCGCTGCTGCGGCCGCGGCGGCCCCGGGGTCTGCTGCTGCTGCTGCTGCGGGGGCTGCTGCTGCTGCGGGGGCTGCTGCTGCTGCTGCTGCTGCTGCGGGGGCTGCTGCTGCGGCTTCCGCGGCGGCGGCCTCCGCGGCGGCGGCGGCAGCAGCCTCCGCCTCCTCCGCCTCCTCCTCCTCGTCCTCGGAAGAAGCCGCCGCCGCGCGCTGCCTTGCTGCTGCTGCTGCTGCTGCTGCTGCTGCTGCCACTTCCTTCGAAGCCTCGTCGTCTGTCTCCTCCTCGCCCCCGCTGCTCGAGCTGCTGCCCAAGTGCAGCCAACTCTCCATCAGCAGCTGCTCCAAGTGCCGCTCCCGCTTCTGCTGCAGCCGCCGCTGCCGCTCCCGCTCCCGCCGGTCTGTTGCTGGCAGCAGCTCTTCCGGCTGCTGCTGCAGCAGCAGCTCCTGCTGCATCTTCATCAGCAGCGCGCGCCGGAACCGCCACAAGTTCGACTCTTTCGAGGGCCCCGGCTCTTCTTCTTCTTCTTCTTCTTCTTCTTCTTCTTCTTCTTCATCTTCTTCTTCGTCTTGCTCGAAGTGCTCCTGCGCTGCTTGCTGCTGCTGCTGCTGCTCCTGCCGGTGCTGCAGCAGCTCCTCGTCCTCACCGTCCTCCCCCTCCTGCTCCCCCTCCTGCTGCTCCTGCTGCTGCTGCTGCTGCTGCTTCTCCCGCCGCGGCGGCCGCCCGCGCCGCCGCGGCTGCTGCTGCTGCTGCTGCTGCTGCTGCTGCTGCTGCTGCCGAACTGTCTCCTGCACCTGCCGCAGCCGGTCCATGGCCCGCCCTGGCATCTTCTCCTGCATTTCGCGCTGCAGCAACATGACTTGTCTGCGGACATGTTCTTGCTGCAGCTTCAAGGCGCGGCTGGGTTGCTGCAGCAGGTCCAGCAGCTGCATCTCCTTCGGCGTCTTTTGCTGCTGCCGCTGCAGCAGACTCAGCAGCCGCAGCTGCTCCGACGGGTGCTGCTGCTGCAGCATCGCCTCCAGCGCCTGCTGCAGCGGAGACTGCCGCGGAGACTGCCGCGGAGACTGCAGCGGGGACTGCAGCGCCTGCTGCAGCGGGGACTGCAGCGGGGACTGCAGCGGGTGCTGCAGCGGGTGCTGCAGCGGGTGCTGCAGCGGCTGCTGCAGCGGGTGCTGCAGCGGGTGCTGCAGCGGGTGCTGCAGCGGGTGCTGCAGCGGGTGCTGCTGCCAGCCAGAACTTTGCTCGAAGGAGATGTCTGGGATTTGCTGCAGCCAGTCTTCTGTCTCCAAACCCATTCGGGTGCTGTGGCCGCGGGGCCTTGCTGCTGCTTGGAAGGCCGTGGGGTGTACAGACACCCCGGGGCCTGCTGCAGCGAAGGGCGGCCACTGCTGCAGCGGGGGCTCGAAGCTTCTTTGGTTAAGTCCATAGGAGCTGCTGAAGCTGCTGGAAAAGCCAAAAGGAAGGAAGCTTTGCTGCTGCTGCTGCTGCCGGTGGTCCTGCAGCTGCTGCTCGTGCAGCTGCTGCTGCTGCAGCTGCAGCAGGCGCTGCTCCTCCTGCTCCTGCTGCATCTGCAGCAGTTGCTGCTCCTGCCGCTGCCGCTGCAGCAGCTGCTGCTCTTGCTCGTGCTGCTGCTGCAGCAGCTGCTGCTCTTGCTCGTGCTGCTGCTGCAGCAGCTGCTGCCGCTGCTGCAGCTGCAGCAGGCGCTGCTCCTCCTCACGCCGCCGCAGCTGCAGCAGCCGGGTCTCGTGCTGCTCGTGTCGGTCGAGCTCCCGCAGATGCTGCTCCAGCATTCCATGCTGCTGCTGCAGCTGCAGCAGCTGCTGACTAGGGAAGTGCTGCTGCTCCGGCCGCAGCAGGTAGCTCCCGGCTTCCTGCTGCTGGTGCATGTGCAGCAGCTCCTGCTCCTCTTCCTGCTGCTGCTGCAGCTCCAGCAGCTGCTGATTCTCCAGCTTCTGGTGCATCAGCTGCTGCAGTTGGATCTGCTGCTGCCGCCGCTGCTGCTGATGCGCGCACGGCTCCGGTTGGTGCCTCTCCTGCTGCAGTTGCTGCTGCTGCAGCTGCTGCTGCAGCTGCTGCTCCGCAAGCTGGCGCAGCTGCTGGTTCTCAAACTGCTGCTGCTGCTGCTGCTCCCCCCCCTGCTGCTCCTGCCGCCGCTGCCGCTGACCTTGCTGCTGCTGCTGGAAGCGCATCATGAGCTGCTGCTGCTGCATGCCGGCGGCTGCCATGGGGCCCTGCGGGTCTGGGAAGAGCATTGCAGCAGCTGCTGCTGCAGCGTCCGCTGCTGCAGCAGCAGCTGCTGCTGGGGGCCTCAAACTGCGCAGAGGGTCTTCAGAATTTCCCCCACTAAACTCAACTTCCATGGAAATGCAATGCCCCATAAGGGCCGAAAAGTCTGAACCCTCATGGTTTTGCTGCTCGCGAGCCAGCCGCCGCAGGGGGGCCCCCTGGGGCTGCACGCGGCTGCGCAGGTTGCGGCAGAGGGGCCCCAGCAGCAGCAGCAGGGTCACAAAGAGTGCAGCAACAGCAGCGGGGGAGAGCCAGCGCTTCTTGCTGCTGCTGCTGCTGCTGCTGCGGCCGCTGCTGCTGCGCAAGTGACCCGGCCGGGGCCCCCGAGCATACAGCGATGCGTCCCCTTCTAAGGCTGGGAACGCCGAGGGGCCCCCGGAGGGGCCCCCAGAGCTTTGCTGCTCCACAGTCTCGGGCCAAGGGGGCCCCCGGGCTGCAGCAGCGGCCATTTCTTCGGCGAGCTTGCTGCCTCCTAGCTGCTGCTTCCTTGCTGCTGCGCGGAAGCTGCGGAGAAGTTAAAAAAAGTAGAAGAAGCAAAGAGTTGGGAAGCAGAAGAACTCAAAAAGTCAGCAAGGCAGCAGGAAGATCATTGTGCTGCAGACGGGCAAGGCGGAGGAGGCCGCGGCCGCTAGACAGCTTTGCTGCTGCTGCTGCCTGCGGCCTTTTCATTGGACTTTTTGCTGCTGAGGGCCCCTGCTGCTGCGGGGAGCAGCAAGAAGCAAACAAGCAGTGAAAAAACGAACTATTGAGGCCTTGGGGGCGGCTGCTGCGGCGCAGCAGGAGGAGCCCGAGCTGCTGCAGCGCCTGTGGCCGGCTCGCTGGGGACTCGGACACCGGAAGACGCCCTTTTTGGCCTTCCTTTTCAATTAAATTGAAGAGAAATAAAAGGAAATGGAAGAAGAGGCTGAGACCCCCGTGCCCGCCGTGTGCTGCTGGCGCCTCAGGCTCACCAGGACACTGATCTGTGTCTTCGCTGGCTCCCCCACAGCGCAGTTGCGGATGTCCGCCTGCGCCGCTTCGCTTCTTTTTCCAATTTCACAACTCTTTAGACATTTAAAAACATTTTTTAATCCAAAATTCCATTTAAAGGCCCCTCAAATGCCGCATTTCCCGCTCCCGAGACCGGCGGCGGGTGACTTCGATGCAGAATCGACCGAGGCGAACACCTCCTAAACGCCCGCGAGCAACGCCCGGGGGCACCTTTAGAAGTTAAACTTATTTCATTTTTATTTTTAATATTTATAAACAAATTCATGAAGAATATTTTCATTTAATCAGCCGCCGCAGCTCTGTTTCAACACAGATCCTCTCCCGATCCACCTCTAACCGCCTGTGCGCAGCGCTGCACTGGCTCACGCGGCAGTGCCCCCTCAACTGCTCGAGTAAACACTTGAAAAATGACTCAATTTCTTTTTTAAATAATTAATTTTGATAAATATAAACATAACTGCTAGCTAGCGCGTCTCTCAGGAGGCCCGGGGGCCTCCACCGGTCCAACTGTGCCAAGTAACGGCCCCCGAGAGCTGGCCGAGACACTCCTGCAGCTGCCCTGGGGCCCCCAGCCAATTAAGTACCCTCTTTTACTCTGCAGCAACCCCTGTGGGGCCCCCGGGGCCCCCGGGGCCCCCCGAGCCCCCACAGACTTGGCTGCAGGGAGGCAGCAGGCACTGTAGGAAAGGGGGGCACCAAAGAGTGGCTTTTGGCCAGAACTTGCAGTTCTAAAGAGCAGCAAAAAGCCCCATTTTGCTGCTGCTCAGTGCTGCCATGCATGCGCAGCAGGAACGCATGCACTGGCTTGGAGAGCGGCAGCGCCTGCGGGCAGCAGCAGGGGCCTGCTGCTGCTGCTGCGGGTGCGGGAAGCCTTAGCAGCAGCAGCAGCAGCAGCAGCATAGTGGGAGGCAGTTTGAGGCGCAGCAGGGGCAGAAACGAGGCAGCAGGACCTGCTGCTGCGCTGCTGCAGCAGCAAGGCGCAGCACTAAAGACTAAAAGCAGCAAATTGTCCCTTTAGAGTTCCTGCTGCTGCAGCTGCTGCAGCACGAGGCCCCAAAGCCTCTCAAAGAAAATGACGCATGCAGCAGCATGCAACACCACCCAAACACACATCTGGGGGCCCCCCACCCGTGGCCTGGGGCTGCAGGGGCCCCGGGGGCCCCCCAGGGCCCTCTCCTAGGCCTGGGGGCCCTCCGGGGCCCTCTTTTAGGCCCGGGGGGCCCCCCGGGGCCCCTGCAGCCTTGCCTTGCCGGGGGCCCCCAGGGTACTTTGGCCTGTGGGGCCCAGGGGAGCCTAGAAAGCCCCAAGGCATTTAACTCTGCTGCATGCAGGATCCAAAACCCTAAACCCTAAACCCTAAACCCTGGCCCCACACTTTCGGGGCTTAGCGCATGCAAAGCCCCGCAGCAAAGCCACCGCATGCAGGGCCCCCTGCGGTGTACGTACACTGCAGCTTTGTGGAGAGCCCCCAAGGGCTAGACAACCAGCAAAAAACTTAGCTAGCTAGCTAGATAGATAGCTAGCTAGCTAGCTAGCTAGATAGATAGATAGATAGATAGATAGCTACCTGTTGGCTAGCTAGCTGCTGATTTGCCAGCTAGCCAGCTAGCTGCGGCTAGCCAGCGTGACTGCTTAGAGGCCCATTAGAAAAGGTCTAAAACATCCCAAGTTTTGGCTCTGCTGCAGCAAAGCGGCTCAAAAGGCTGCTGCTGCTGCCGAGCTGCTGCAGCTGCTGCTGCTGCTGCTGCTGTGCTGCTCGAGTAGCTTCAAGAAGCTAAAGTGCTGCAGAGTGTTTGCATGCAGCTGTTCAGTTTGCTTCTTCTTAAAAGAGACAAAGAAGCCCCAAAAGCCAACACAGAGGCGAAGCGGCCTAGGGGGACCCAGAGGACTCGCATGCAGCAGCAGCAGCAGCAGCAGCAGCAGCAGCAGCAGCAGCAGGGGCAGCAGCAGCAGCAAGCGCCTTCCTCAGGGCAGCCAACAAGCCGGCGGGGACTGGCGCATGCAGTCTCCTTGAAAGGGAATGAGGCTCTCTGCCGTTTGGGGCTGCTGCTGCGCTGCTAGCTGCTGCTTCTGCAGCTGCTGCTGCAGCTGCTGCTGCAGCTGCTGCTGCAGCGAAGTCCCCCAGGAACTGCAGCAGAAGCTCCGGATGAGGAAAAATCGAGTGGATGCGCAGCAGCAGATCCGAAACCTGCAGCAGCAGCAGCAGCAGCAGCAGCAGCAGCAGCAGCAGCAGGATTTGCTGAAGTGTGAGTGCAGCAGCTTGAGTCTCTTTAACAAAGACAAAAGGGCCCATTTGCCTCACTGCAGTCTCCTCAATAAAGGGCCCCCACTGCAGCAAAGCTGTCCCCAGGGCCCTCAGAGATGCCTGGGCCAGAAGGCAGCTGCTGCTGCTCTCCACAAGGTCCCTTAGGAATCTGCTGCTGCTGCAGCTGCTGCTGTTGCTGCTGCTGCTGCTGCTGCTGCTCCGGCGGAGGCGGATGCGCCGTGCAGCGCCGCTGCTGCAGCAGCAGCAACAACAGCACGCCGTCTGCAGCCCAGCAGCTGACTGCCCCCTTTCTTCCTGCTGCTGCTGCTGCTGCTGCTGCTGCTGCTGCTGCTGCTGCTGCTGCTGCTGAGGCTGGGGAGGCGTGGCTGCAGGCAAGGAACAATTGCTCAAGTAACGAAAGGCCCCCAAAAGGGCCCCCTCAACACTTTTCCAGGCCAGCCTTCTCAGACGCTGCAGGGCCTCGGGAGTCAGCAGGGGGGCCCCCACGGGGGCCCCCACGGGGGCCCCCACGGGGGCCCCCACGGGGGCCCCCTCTGGCGCAGCAGCAGCCTCAGGGGCCCCGGGGGCCCCCGGGGCCTCTGGGTGTGGGGCCGCGACGGCATCTGCAGCAAAGCAGCAGCGCAGCAGGGGCCCCTCACCCGCGAATGCTTACCCTCATGGGGCCCCCAGTCGCAGGCTGCAGCTAAAGGGGGCCCCCAAAGGGGGCCCCCAAAGGGGGCCCCCAGAGGGGGCCCCCGGGGGCCCCTGCAGCAGATGGGCCTACCTGACATGAGCCGCAGCCAGCCAAAAAGGGCCCTTACGAGTCTTGGCAGCAGCAGCACAACAGCAAGGGGAGCTGCTGCTGCCTCAGCAGCAGAGGGGGCCCCCGGGGGCCCTCCTGCTGCTGCCCTGGGGGGGGCCAAGGGGGCCCCTGGGGGCCCCCCGTTGGCCCGGGGGCCCCCCTGCGCGGACTGCCCCACAGAAAAGGGTACAGGGGGGGCCTCTGTCCCCAGAAGAACTGCAACATGTTCAAAGACAACCCTGAGCAAAAAAACCCCAAGACAGTCTGGCAACCCTAAACCCTAAACCCTAAACCCTAAACCCTAAACCCTAGAGCCCTTTGCGCAGCGCCCCAGACCGCCCCGCGTGCGCCAGCAACCTCAAACCCTAAACCCTAAACCCTAAACCCTAAAGTCTAAACTATAAACCCTAAACCCTAGCCCTGAAGGCACCCGTAGATCTCGAGGGCGCATTGCGCGCTGCCCAGCCAAACCCTCAGGCGGTGGCCCTCCTGGGGCTCAGGGGGGCCCCCCTGCTTTCTTGAGGGGCCCCCCGGGGGGCCCCCCGGGGGGCCCCCCCCCCTCTTGGGGAACTGTGGGGCCCCCAGGGCCTTGACGAGGGCCCTGAGAACGCCCCATGAGGTGGCGAGGCCCTGCAGCAGCAAACAGCAGCGGCGAGCAGGCAGCCTGGGGCGGCCTGAGGGGCCCCCTGGGGCTGCGAAACGCTAAATTAGGGTTTAGGGTTTTCGGCTAGGGTTTACCGGTTCTGAGGCGCAGCAAGGCATGTAGGCAGACGCCAGGTGAGACAAACTCAAAAACAAAGATAAAGACTGCCTCAAGAGGCCCCTTTGGGCCCCAAGAAGCCTCGTGCACAGGTGCTGCTGCTGCTGCTGCTGCTGCTGCTGCTGCTGCTGCTGCTGCTGCAGTTGTTCTCGCTGCTGCGGCTGCTCTTGCTGCTGCTGCTGCTTCTGCAGCAGCTCCAGAAGCAGCTTCTTCCTGTGGGGCCCCAAAAACAAGTCCAGAGGGAGGGGCAAAAGCTCATAAACAGCAGCAACTTCAAAACCCAGCAGCAGCAGCTGCTGCAGGGCCTCAGCGGGGCGGCGGAAGGGGGCCCACTGCAGCAGCAGTTTGACGAGTGCTGCGAAGTACTCTTGAATGGCCATCAGCAGCAGATCCTTCGCGGGCAGCAGCAGCAGCAGCTGCTGCTGCTGCTGCTGCTGCTGCTGCTGCTGCCGAGCGCGCTTCGCCCTGCTGCTGCCAGCAGCAGCCGCTGCTGCAGCAGGAGCAGCCTCAGCTAGGGGGCCCCGGTGGGGGGCCCCCTCAAGCCCGAGGGCCCCCCGGCCCCCTGGGACAGAGCGCAGCAGAGCAGCAAGCTGCAGCGCAGCAGCCATAGAGGCGAGGCCCCAGCCTTCGAGTCTGGGGGCCCCCAGGGGCC